TTTGCGCAGGATCTTAAGCTTGGTCACTACATGAAGGTCCCCCCCAGAGTCATGTTTTCTTCACAGCTGGTTGCCTCAATCTGGTCGGCTATTGTACAGATTTGCGTGATGAACTGGGCACTGGGACACATCCCTGACGTTTGTGCGGTCGATCAGCCAAACAACTATACATGCCCAGGTGGCCGCGTCTTCTACACGGCCTCTGTGATCTGGGGAGCCATTGGACCCGCTCGTATCTTCAGTCACGGCTCAATCTACTCGTCGCTCCAGTGGTTCTGGCTGGTTGGTGCTGTCACACCCATCATCACATGGCTGCTGGCCCGCAAGTGGCCTCGTTCAATCTGGCGATATGTCAGCACCCCTCTTATCTACGGTGGTGCTGGTATGTTGCCCCCAGCCTCTGTGTATATCTACCTATGCTGGGGCATGGTCGGTGCTTTCTTCAACCGCTTCGTCAAGAGAAGATATACGGGCTGGTGGCTCCAGTACAACTACGTCACTTCAGCGGCACTGGATTGTGGCCTCATCATGTCCACAATGGTGATTTTCTTCACCTTGTACCTAACGAGTGCTTCTCCCCCCAATTGGTGGGGTAACTATGGCGCGTTGGAGACGATGGACTGGAAGACTACGGCGGTCTCAAAGACGGTTCCAAAGGGCTCGTTTATTGGACCTTCGACTTGGAACTAAGTAACCAATCTTATAAACAATCGTTCATGGGCATGGTTTGGGAAGGAAGATTTGGATAGTTAACTGAAGGGATTTCGAGGCGTTATGGTCTAGGCTATTTGTTACTTGGCAATGTTTCTTACTACACGTGCGAGATACCTCAATGATGATTAATGTTCACGGACTTTTTGGAAGAAGCTGTTTGGGCATGAGTGACAATTTACGAGCGTTTGAATTACAGCTGTACCTTCAATTGAGATTTGAATTCATATCGTCATTTACGATGAGTTTTATTTACAAAGTAACTGTTATAAGCTTGCTTAGTTGGCCGCCCCCCGGCTCGAGCCAACAGGTACAAGACTCAATCAATGGAAGCCAGAACTACGATGGTACTGCACTTGCAGCTATGGGGAGTAAGAAAATATAAGACTTTAGAAGAGGGTACCAAAATAAACTTAGTAAAGACTCCCCTAAGCTTAGAACAAATTACTTAAATCTTTTTATCCCTTAGGATTAAGGTACTGAGTTTTCTTTCTTCCCTCAGGTAGGATATGCATTGTACCTATGTATGGAAAAAGAAAGAGCGAAGATGAAGTATGAGATAGACAACTATCGTTTCTCATACCAAGGATGGCTAAAGGAAAAAAAAAAAGAAGAATAGAAGAGCGAGATAGCTTGAGAGGATATTCCTGCCTACCTCATTGTATTATACCTTCCCTCTTACATAGCAGACAGTTCCTTCCTTACCTTAGGTTACCTTAAGGTAGATGGCATCTCCACTCTGCGCCTTCCTCTGGCAACACTTTCATGAGACCGGGAGATGGCATCTGTAAGGCACCTTCCTTGCCTGACTTGATGCATTGGCACCTTATAGCACAGCACTTACATGCAATTGCATTCTCCCACGCCTTCACAGGGAGGAGACGAGAAACTCATCGTGCCCAACACCAGTCGTACACCTCAAAAACGGTACGTTTGGTGGCACTGCTGCACGTGACTGCAGATCCTTGCTCTTTCCCTTACCTAGGTACCAGGTAGCGTAAATCAATCGCTCTTGCCATGTAGGGCACACAAAAAAATCACATGATCCACACAGCTCGCTCCTTCCCAAAAATTCACTCCGCCGAAATTGGTCTCCCAAATTGAAGAATTCTCGATCGCCATTCAACTAACCGCCAAACACCACAGCCAAGATGAGTACGTCGCCGCTTGTCAGCTGCTCGCGAAACAACAGCAGACGATGCTTCTCCCGAGAGTAATTAAGAGTTTATGCTAATGCGTCTCAACAGCGAAGGGTACCTCCAGCTTCGGTAAGCGTCACAACAAGACGCACACCTTGTGCCGACGATGCGGTTAGTTCTTATGCCCTCTTGTCTCGCTGTTGAGACAGCCCTCGATCTGTGCAACGGATATTCGAAATATAGCCGACGCTGAATTTAAACGATGGCGGGAATCGAGGGATGTCTGAACAGCGAGGCTCGGAAACATCGAAGTGGACGGAAATACTGATGGGATCTGAAATAGGTCGCCGCTCTCTTCACGTTCAGAAGCATGAGTGCTCTTCTTGCGGCTATCCTGCTGCCAAGATCCGCAAGTGTACGTGAACTTCTCACAAATGGCGTCGATAAACCGATATCGAATGCTCGACGCTCTTTGGCAGCATTACTAACTGCATCAACAGACAACTGGTCCGAGAAGGCTAAGCGCAGAAAGACCGTCGGCACTGGCCGCACTCGCTACCTCAAGGATGTATCTCGACGATTCAAGAACGGTTTCCAGACTGGTACCCCCAAGGGCGCTCGAGGCGCTACTGCCGAGAAGGCCTAAATGGGGACCGCATCCCTTCTGATCCCTTCCACCACCTCTCCGGCCTAACCCTCTTCCACCACGGACGTTTAAAACACCCGCCTCTTCGAGAACATACAACAGCAATGGCGGCTCATAACATGAGCCTAGATCCAAGGACAATCTGGTTGGAACCGGAGTTAGGGTGGTGATTGGGACGGGCGGTCGTGTCTGTCGGTTCGTGGATGAAAGGAGCGTAAAGGAGCGGCTTGGAGCATGGGCATGGTGTTTTACATGTTTGAGCAAGGAAGTAAAAAAAAGGACCCTTTTGCTCTTCTGAGATTCCATAGGGTTTCGGTTACGAGGTTCTGAAATGGCATCTTGATTCTGCATGAACGTACCTATGACCATTGAACGGACATACGCGAGGGAAAAAATTGGTTGACTGTCGTGGCAACTCACGTCCCGTGCATGACACCATATTGATTGAGGTATGGTCTGCAACTTGAAAGGTTCTTAAGCGGCGGTTCTGAGACCAACATCTTGCATGCCACGACAGTTGTTCTTGGCCTTGATTTTGGTTTCTATTCAGCATCCATCATGTCCCTCTTTCAAAGACCTTGACCCCGCCATCCGCAACAACATGATATAAATATTCAGTAGCACCACCCAAGGTCTCTGCTCCAGGTCCTGTAATACGTACTACTCCACTGACATCCCTCGCTGTCCCTGTATCAAGCATCCGCAGGGCCAACACCATGTCAGCTTGATGTGCCGAAGAAAGCACGAGGCTGGCGTGCTCTCGTTCAAGCGTGGTAACTTGGGTAGCAACAAGAGGCACGTCGGCTGACAGAGTGAGTAGCGTACTGTGCACAAGCTGCGAAAGATTTAGCGATGACACCCTCCTTCTGAGCAGACTTACACTTCGTAGGCTAAGAACGGCGTCTTGAAGCGTGAGACTTGTGGTTGAGTCATCGGTGACAGCGAGAAGCGCATCAAGTTGGTCGATAATAAGGATCTTACGCGACGCACGCAAATCCGCGACAGAGCCTTCAATTTCCCTTTTGATATCTGAAAGCTCCGTACTCCGAAGCGTTCTTTCTTTTCGCGTGCCTGGTACCCCGTTCTTATCTTCACCATGGAGTCCTGAGAAACCGTCGATGAATGTGAAGCGTCCTGCTCTGCTTAGGGCATCTAAATCAAGGCCCTGGTCACAATATTAGTATTTGCCTATACAAATAGTCCATTGATCTGTCTGTGAACTTGTTACCAATTTTGTAGAGCCCTCTCTCCAAAAGGCACCATCTCTCATGAAGCTCAGCAGTATGACGCCTGTGTCCTTGGTGCTCTCATCCCCATCTGCACTACCTCTCAGGTATGAATACAGATGGCGCAGAACCAGCCAGTTCGCGCTTGCACCAAGCACGCTGGTGACAAGATTGAGCGAGGACTCTGAAGGCAGAGAGATGTAGGGCTCCAAAAGATGAGGTATCCGTGTAGTGGAAGCCATTTCGGGAACCAAATATGGGAGATAATTATTAAGTTGATACAAAATATTCTGAGGGTTGAGTGGCACTGTGCGAGAAAATCAGTGCTTAGTGGAGCGAGAGGACACCATAGAGAGGTGATAGGCAAAATCAACACTAACTATCACGTTTGGAAATTTGAACTACGAAGAAAATGTGTGAAGTATTATGTTCAAATCTGGATTACGAGTAAGCAGGAGTTTGTGGAAGAAGGTCTTTTCCAACCGGTTGATTACGGTTTGCCAACCTTACACAAACTTGGCGCTCAAGGAGGGACGAAGCTGAAAATCATTGCAGTTTTAACCTTAACACTCAGTACCTCGCGAATTCTGTGCTCTATCTCTGGGAGGGGATATTCAACCTCACCTTACTATGGTGAATTGTTCTCTGATAGAGTACCGTCGTCATCGAGTCTAACAAAATTCTCAAGCCTGCTAACGCGGACGAGAAGATGGTGTGTCTATATCTAACTAGTCATTTCTTAAGACTGGACTGGCCGAATCTTCTGCTGGTAACTTGCGTATGACACGAATTTGTTCATGAATTCTAGGACCTCACACAACGGGCAAGGCTTCGTTTGAATCGACAGTTTCGTTCGGCCTAACAACAACATCCAATGTTCAAGGTAGCGAATGCATTAACCTGGAAGAGCAGTACCATGGGAGGTATGTGACGGGCTTCATTGGGCCAAGCCTGCATTATTCTTGTGAATGACACTGGTCTTGGCCGTACACACAAACACCAAAGTTACTGCTCCTCCTGAACTTGATCTATATCGGGGAAATGACCGAGAGCGAGCAATGACAAGTATTTCCACTATTTGAAGGGAGTAGATTTTAGGCAACAGATGCCTGTCTCCCAGTCCGACGTGATGATGTTTCTCAAGCATTTGTGATGGGTGCTATTGATGTCGTGGGCCCTCTAGATATCTGGCTGTGATATTGTTGGCATGGTTCAGAAGGCAGAAAATATCCCGGATCGCGTCTATTATACAGATCATTGATGAGTTTTGGTGTTGCCCTATTTGCCAAACAGACCTCCAAAGATAGACGAACCACCACCACCTCCTCCTCCACGGCCACCATGTCTTCTGGCTTCAGTTCGGATCCATTCCTTCAGAAATTCTCTGTCCGCGAGCTTTCTGGCATCCGATAGCTTGGTTGTTGTTTGTGCCTCCCCGCCATCGAAACTTAAGAGCGTAGGAATGCTGGTGATCATGTAAGTCATGGCCAAGTTGGGGCTTCCTGACATGATATCCGAAGAATCAAACTCAACAGTCGCGAGAGACACGCCTCCCTCCTCCTCGCCAACGCCAGACTCAACAAGATCCCTGATGAGAGGGCTTACGGCTTTGCAGGTTGAGCACCATGAGGCGGTCCACAGGGTCAGTAGGGGGGTCCGGGACGACGTCGAGAGTGAAAGGTAGGTTGAGAAAGAGTCATTGTTGCGGATACTAGCTGGCGGTCAACGGACAAGCTATTTCTCGGCAGAGGGAGACAAAGACAGCGATCGACAAATGTATTGCAAGGGGGGGAACATGTGCGGAGACATGTGATCTATCAAAGCAAGCAATTTGACTTACGGGGCGTATATCTGGTTCTTGTCTTTTCGCGATGTCGTTGAAGAAATTAAGGCTCGCTGGAATGAACGAGGTATCGTCTGTGCCTTGTTACGGAAAAGCCGGAGCCCAGTACGTAAGGTGAATGTGTGCATTATAATCTTGAGATGAACCACAGCCTCAATGGCTAAAGCTGAGAGTGCAATTGGACCTAAAATGCTTCGGTAGAATGGAATTCAAGCGAAGATTTGGAGGTGAGACATGGTAAGACGCCCATGCCAGGAATGATGTAATGACCCCAGCGACAGGACCCTTCACAAGGTGGGGGATGCATTGTTTACTGGGGCAGCTGCAGTGAGATGGGCCAGTGGTGAGCTTGCAGAGAGATACTGCAGAGTGCCGACCGCACGGGACACGGTTTAAACAACAACAAGGCGGTCACGCGTGCAGCATCTACAGAAGTGAAACTTGGTTTAACCTGGAATCGTCCTTAGTTATGGCACTGCCGCCGCTCCCGCCAAGTAGCCGACCCAACCCAGCAGGATGAATGGGATAGATCCTTTGTCACCAGGCCTAGAGGCACAGGAGTGGAGAAGGAGTCGAGCCTGGTGATCCAACGTTAACCTTACTCGCGTTATCCGTCGAGTAGTGCCAGGTAGACCGTTACGAGTCCAGTCCAGTCCCTTATCAGGGAGAAAGGCATGGAAACCTTACTTATAACCCTACCGCCTCGTATTGTTTCTTTATGAGGACATGTTCCTCATAGCGAGCCAAAGTGGCATGTTTTCTTCATCTTTTTTTGCCTCTTCCGTTGTATGATTACAGGCGGGGTTTGTTTTTGCCATATACCTTTTCATACCTTACCTTATGGCTTGCAGCTGGTGACGACTTGAACACTCCACAATTATTGGACCCTGATGCCTTCCATCGCTTCGCGACGAAACTAACTGGCTTCCCATCTCGATCACACTCACCTATAAACAAATTCCATTATCCATCATCCAATCTCCCTAACCTAGGATTCTGTGTCCAGCCTCACTTGGTTCTCCTTCCTCGAGGACGTGCCCTGCTTTAGAAGGAACCTTTGTTTCCCCCTATATCATTATCCATTTGACACCTACAATCGAAGAAGTATCCATCAAGGTCTATCTCCCCCTCTTCAAGCATCTCATCGAGAACCCCTCTTTACGCATCAGAAGTGAAATCCAAAACTCCAGTTTTCATTTGCATATTTTCTTGAGAAAGTCCTCCTCATGCAGTCAGAGAAATCAGATGTGCCCAGGTGGAGGCGCTTCCTGGGCGGCAGCGGCAGCGGACCTACCGGTGCCAGGCCAGACGACTCGTACGGACCTTCCAGATGGAGCATGGGTGTTCTGAACGACAAAAAGACTATTGAAGTTCCAGGTAAGCTCAAAAACTCACGTGTTCCTATATCGAATTCGCAAGACTGACGCGTTATAGGTTCCGTGCTTCTTCTGGCATCACATCGCAATGAGCCTCTTGGTCTGCGAAATGTGCACGCCAGAACATCTCACTCATCCATTCCTGCTGGATTTCCTGTTGATACACGAAGGACATCAGCCTCATCAGCGGCTGCTTCTGCTGCTGCTGCCTCAGTAGCGGAGAACCATGCTTCCCCCGACGAGAGTGACGGCAAGAAGAAAACAAGCGATGGGGCTATCATCCTGGAACCACAGCCTGAAGAATCAGGAAATGATCCTCTGAACTGGCCTGCTTGGAAACGTGACATTGCTCTTTTGTCGCTTGGTTTCTACTGCATGATTGGCGGCGGCACAACTCCCATTATCGCCGCCGGCTTCACCGACGTTGCAGAGACATACGACGTTGATGTCGAGAGGGTCGCTTTGACCACTGGACTCTACATGATGGGAATGGGCCTCGGCTCCGTTGTGTTCTCACCGACCGCTATCCTTTGGGGTAAACGCCCAGTATATCTAGGTAGTGCGATCCTGTTCATTGGGACATCACTCTGGGCAGCATGGTCTCCAAGCTTCAATTCTCTCCTCGCGGCCAGAGTCTTCCAGGGCTTTGCTGTTAGCCCTGTTGAATGTCTTCCATCAGCCACAATTGCCGAAATCTTCTTCCTCCATGAAAGAGCCTACCGCATTGGTATCTATACTCTTCTTTTGCTCGGCGGCAAGAATTTGGTCCCCCTTGTCAGTGCCGTCATCATTGGCGGTCTTTCGTGGCGTTGGGTTTTCTGGATCTTGGCTATGATTATTGCTTTTGGTGCTGTGCTGCTCTTCTTGTTTGTCCCGGAAACCTTTTGGGATCGCACCCCTCACGCAAGGCCTAAGCATCCATCCAAGCGTCCAAGTTTTCTTCGCCGACTCTCATCTCGCCATGCGGTTCCACAAACTGGCGGAGAGGGGCTACTTCAGGGTGAGACTGAGGCGCACTTCGCAGATGCGGACCATGCTCAAGATGGACACCAATCACCTGCTGCTCTTCATCGAGGCCGGGATCTCCATGTTGGCTTTGCTGAGTCTGGCGACGCTGCTGAAGACGCAGCAGCACCTGTGACTCCAGTTTCGCCTAAGGCGGTAGTCCATCCGTCTGGTCAAAACCCAGCTGCCCCAGGGGACGTCGGCAGCACGACTGGAAGTGAGTCCAACAGTGCGTCTTTCAAGCTAGGTCCAAACCTCGAGAACGAGAAGTTAGATGCCTCGCAGCTCCGGGGTCCGCCCAAGATCCAGGCCTACACACACAACCTCCGTCAGCAGCCTCCAAAGTCGTTCGTTCAACAGCTTAAGCCCTGGCATGGAAGGTTAAACAGCGATAGCTGGCTCAAGGTCATGGTCCGCCCTTTCATTCTATTCGCATACCCCGCGGTCCTTTGGTCAGCTGCCGTGTATGCTTGCTCTGTGGGCTGGCTTATCGTCATCTCTGAGTCGATTGCCATGATATACCGCGACAAGGATTCTTATAATTTCACCGCGCTCCAGACAGGCTTAGTGTATATCTCACCTTTCATCGGTGGTATCCTGGGAACTGGCGTGGCTGGCAAGGTCAGTGACATTATCGTCAAGATCATGTCCAGGCGTAATGGCGGTCTCTACGAGCCTGAGTTCCGTCTTGTCATGGCCCTTCCCATCCTTATCAGCACATGCATAGGCCTCATGGGCTTTGGCTGGTCGGCAGAAGAAAAAGACCATTGGATGGTCCCTACCTTCTTCTTTGGAGTTGTGTCATTTGGTTGCTCCCTTGGATCGACTACCTCCATCACGTTCTGTGTGGACAGTTACCGCCAATACGCCGGAGAGGCTTTGGTGACGCTTAACTTTTCAAAGAATATCTTGCATGGACTTGTTTTCAGCCTCTTCGTCACGCATTGGTTGCACGGCGATGGCCCGAAGAAGGTGTATATTTGGATTGGTATAATCCAACTGCTTCTCATGCTGTGCACAATTCCTATGTACATCTACGGCAAGAGGGCACGCATGTGGACAGTTCGAGCAAATTTGATGGAGAAGTTCTGATTTCGAACGGGCATTGCTTGGAGTTTTGACACCTTTATTGCATGAGACAGAGCGCACCGCATGATTCCTTCATTTTGACGATATGGAGTTTGTCTGTTTTGCTATTACTTACAACATAGGGCCTGGCACGCAAGTGCTATTGCATTGAACACCGAGACCCAGTATGATTAGAATGAGTATTTCTGTTAGTCAAGATGACGATTAGTCGTATTACTGAGAACAGATTTGTGCATCCATTAATTTGGCTGTTGCTGGTGATGTCTGTCGAATACTCGTACAATAAGAGACTAGCTTAGCTGTTTACCAGTTGCTTTCCATACCTTTGCCTTGATGGATGTCCTCCTCCCGGTTCCGGGCTAAACTACCACAATATAGCAGGATATGTAGCTAGAGTGTTGTAAATATGCCCCTATCGAGTTTCGTCACGCGTCCAGAGCTGACAGGCATAATGATGAGATGTCGCTAGGTAATATCACGACTAAATGGCATTTGGAGCCCCCCCCCCCTGCTTTACGGAGGATTCCTGAGCCAGCAGCGTTTCATGGTAGTTGAGTATTCTTTTATCTCAATGGGTTCGAGCAAGGGGCTAGAACTTCTAGAATGAAGTATTATTAGCTTCCTGTCTATTCCTTTCTGTTTACCCCTCGATACTCAACCTTCAGATTTCAGATCATCAACAACAAGAAGTGGCTCACAGCTCCAAGAACTTTGTTTGTATAATAAAAAAAAAAGAGCTTATGAAAGCACACGACGAGATAGTCTCCAAGCGATGCCAACTGTTTATGATCAAGCTTGATTACAGTTATACGCCCCGCAGCAAACGACAGCATAGCCTCTCTGGGGGGTTTCTCAGATGATCACAATCAACTCATTGCCTACCATTTGATTTCCCCATGATAACGAAGTTTGAAAAAACTATGACTTGGGTCTGAATCAACACTAGTAAGCGCTATCTTGCACGTAAAAGTGCCAGTTATCTGCATCTAAGCTCGGATCCTCAGGCAAAGGTTTGGCGGATAATGACCGCGATTACCAAGCCGCGGCACAGATTCTGGTGATCATTCCTCTCTGACTATAGATGATTTGTAAGGTTGCGGCTGATTAATTTTGTTATCAAAGTGAGATCGAGGCTGAGGGCTCATAGTAATAGGACACTAATATACTGAGGTGCAGTGTGTCTTTCAAGCACATGGATGCACAAACCATACATGACACTCATAATACCCTTTCAAAGGGTGGCAAGCTGGTAATTATCAGTTCGGCGATGGAGGTTATCGTGCTTCTTGAGAGATACTCACCACCGTGGTGACTCGAGTCCTTCATGCTGAAGGATGAATATTACGAATGATGTAACTGGAAAATAATTCCACATTAGCGAGGAGCC